ATTCGCGTACGTTTTGAATTTCCAATCTGTATTTAATTATAAAGTAAAAGAAAATAGTTTGATAAAAATAGTAATATTTTTTTCACAAAGTTTTTCCATATCTCTTTATTTTTCAATACTAAATTATTCCTGTACAATCGATTTAATATAGATAACTATAGATATATAGATATATAGATAAATATAGTAATATATGCTGTTCGAAATTATTCACTTTAATTCAACACGCGATTAACATCTCCATGGAATTATAATCCACCACGACAAAACCACATCGGTTCCCGAAAATAAAAAATTTACGTTAGCGAGTATTCAATCTCATGAAGAACAGTGCTTCAAAAATGCTGAAATTTCCAGCGCGCCCACTATTCGCACCCAACTCTCTCTCCCTTTCTCTCTTATGCGTGTGCATTTTTGCGAAACTTTCGGTATTCTGAGCGCGATCATCGACACGCGAAATTCCGAATCGAAAGCGAGAAGTGCGCTCAGTATCAACATTTTGTACATCCCGCATTTTGTCCCGTTGTTTTAATATCCCTTTGATGCAATGGCGGCAGACTGTGTCCGCCAGGGTTTTTGCGCTGAAAATATTAAAACGGGCGGAGGGGTGGAGAAAACACAGAGGCATATATATATATATATATATATATATATATATATATATATATATACACGTACATCATCACACACGTACATCATCCCACACGCACACGCACACAGATATATTTGCACATTCGCACAAAAAGGTGGTGAGCAAGAAGAGCGGAACCGTACATCAATGGCTGTACAAAGCGCGAATTCCTCGCGATTAAAATGTAGTGTAAACGGCTTTTACTGCCGCCACCCCCTCATGTCCACCATTCATTTTTTTTTATTTCCAGTTAAACTGGCCGTTGCACTCTTTCACGAGTTAACGCGATGCAGCGAGACTTCGGAAAACTACGTAGCGCGCATCGTTCTCGAAACGGGGTAAATTGCAATTCGCCGATACTGGAAAAATTGGCTGGAAGTTGTGTCCATTTTGAAAAGAAATAAAAAAACGCGCGATATAGATATACGGACCACACTTAACTTACTTAAAAACAATATAAGAGAAAATTGAGAAAATTAATAACATAAAAATAAAGATAAAAATAAGATTATTATCGATAACTGAAAGGGATTTTGTCGCAGACTTGACGGTCGCGTAGCATTTCGTCGCCCAATTTAAAGTTTCTCTCGGTCATCAAGGCTCTCGTTGTTTCCGGGATGATCGGAAGAAATAAGTGGATAGAGGCTCTAACGAGCTGGGACAACGCGATCTCGTGCTGAAAGGAAAGTTAAAGGCGCGCGAGAAAAAAAAAGGAGAAAAAAAAATAAAAAGAAAACTTAAAAGTATCGATTCTCAAAGTCGAGAGCTCGGGCTATCGTTTGTTGCGCTATCGTTGTGTCGTCGTCGGCTATCTTCGAGTCGAGTTAATGCATCGGGGGCCACATGCAATCATGCATACGAACGACGAGGCGCGTCGTACGACATGCAAATACCGTCGTATAATTGCTGATGTCACGCAATCGACTCGATGGCGCTGCGACGACGACGATGACGACGGTGACGGCGATCGCGACGACGACGGCGACGGTGACGACGATGACGACAACAACAATGACGATGGCGCTTTGACACGAAGCCGTATCCGTTTCCCAACAAAAAAACTGTATATCAGGAAATGTTCATTAACGGTAGAAAGAGAAGCTCGCGAACGGAGCAGCAAGCATGCTACACGAAATCGACGAGACGGAATTAATAAGAATAAACGATTCGCCACTCGGTGGATTAATTGTACTCACACAGTCGCGAGTTTGAGTTTTCTAAATATCATTTACAATTTGTTAATTATTAAATAAACAATAAAGCTATATCACTTAAATACAATATCTATCACTTAAATACAATATAATTTTTTTGGCATCCGATATAAAAGAATTTTAATTAAAATAAATGAATCTATTTAACACACACGCACATGTACTTCACTTTAACTACTTTAAAAGATAAAAAAAAAATTTTTTTTCGTATATAAGTATTTCAAAATATATTATAAATGTCTAAAATTTTAATTTTCATGACTATACATGTATATAAATCACATTTTGTTTTATATATTTTTTTTTATTAACGCGATTTGCTCACGTATGTTATTCGCAGTAAAATCGTTTATTCCGCAAATTTCGCACAACCGTAAATCTCTACCTCGTGGTTATTCGTTCTAACATCCAAATTTCCAAGTAGAAACGGTCGAGCAATGGAGAGGACAGGGAGTACAGCCAGCAATAAGCGCGACGATGTCGTAAAAGACATTAATCCGCGCCATCCCGGCGAAGTGCATTTATAAGCTACCCTCGGTTTCACGCCGCGTTGAAGATAATTTACACTCACGTGGTGTAACAGCCGCATAATTTAAAACGTTGATTTACGCGCTTCATTAGTTCGACGATTATATTTCAGCGTTTTTCTTTTCCTTTTTTCTTCGATAACATGCAATATTAATTGATGAATGTGTGAATATGTGCTTTCGTTATATAGCAATAACATGTATTTAAATAAAATATATTTGTAATTGTAAGAAAATATGTATGTAATAAAATGATCAATTATGTTAACACCTGGATAAGAATAAAAATGAGTTTCTTAAATTATAAACAATATAAACATAATATTATTATTTTTTGCTTGAAAACGTGAAACAATGTAATAATTCTAAATGTTACAATAGTAAATTCTCAATAAAAATATGATTCAATTCTTATTATTATAATTATAATTTTATAAAATCGTCACCAGCACATGATTAATTTAAAGAAAGATATCATTAGCGAAGTATTATTGCAAAATATAAACAAGGTCATATTTTTAATTTAATATCGATAGATAAGAAAATATTTTATAAGAACAATTCACTGCGTCTATCGTCACAAAGCTCGGAAAGAGCGAGCGACGTAAGTCGAGCGTCGCCACAATGAGAGGAAGAAGGAAGAGACGTTAGAGAGTGCTATTGCATCGTTGCAATCGCATTACATCGTCGCGACCGCGATGCATACGAAGTAATCTCATCGCGGTGGGCCCAGACAAACTGTCGTCGTGGCGCATTCTTGCGGGCGACTTTATATGAACAGAGACAGAGATACGCGCCGCTCTCGAACGCTTGAGAAGACGACGGAGACGACAAGACGGGAATAAAATGGTTAGGCAAGGACAGTCGGAAATGCGCAATCGGGAAATTTGACGAGATATGAAAACGACAGAGAGGCGAAGAGAGACGGTCGATAACATTCAGACAAGCTTGATGCCTCTCGTAAATTGTAGCGGCGTGAAAAACACAATGAAATCGCTTCTTCTCATCCTCGTGCTTTTTTTTGTAGACCATAAACGACTTATTAGACACTACCTTCCACGCATTGCTTAACTATTTTTTCTCACTCTCTCATATTTATGACTGCAATATATTTTTTTACTACGCAAAGTTTCTTTTAAGATCTACCTTTAAGATCTACATCGCTTTGCACTTACAATTTTCCCTGCTGTACTATGATAAAATATATAATAATATAAATATAGCTATAAAATAATGTTATAGCTAAAAAATAGCTAAAAAATAACTTAAATTTAAATGTATATAAAAAGGAAATACTGTTCATTGCCTATTCACCAATGGTAACACCGCACTACTTTGAAATTCCTATACCCCTTCGCGTTCTCCTATCTAATTCCTGAATCCTCTTTGTCCCCCGTCCGGCTGGAGTTAATTATTCATGCGTTCCATTTTGCCACGTTTTACTTTCATGACCGCTAATAACTCGGGATCTGCGTCTAATCGAATTTATGCAAATGACAATTAGATGTATACAGATACGTTTGTCCGTACATGTATATATATTCCTGTATATATATTTCGTACACACACACACACACACGCGCGCGCGCACATATACATGAGATGAGACAATTTACCGGAATTACTTGGTTACCTTTGTTGTCCCGATAAATATGCAAAAATGTTTTGCATAGGAATTGGTTAAAAGAAGAGTACAGTTGTGTAAAAGCAGCAAAAAAGCTTCGAAATTCTTAAATAGTATAATAAAATATAATAATGAGAATGTTAGATAAAAAAAAAATTTTGCCGTTCAACATGGTGAATAGTAGAAAATTCAATTTGTCATCAGCAAAACATTCGAGAGATCATGTTGCTGCAATTATTTGGAAAATGCGCAAAATTACGAATGAAAAGCGCGTTGTTTCATTATCCAGCTGTCAGCGTACTTATATTAACATTAACGAATTTTAATTAAAACGCCTCGTTATAGTAGGGAGCATATGTTCGGATAATTAGCGCCCTGCATATCTTGGACGTTTTGGACTTCAGTTATAGTGTTCATGTTTCGTGATATATCCGGCTTTCGTATGCACACCAGTTTTATAATCCCAGTGATTTTCAAAACATATACAGGAAAATTTAGAAACACAAGAGAGAAATAGGAAAAGGAACAGAATGAACTACAGTGCCAGTGCCAGTGCCTGACTAACTGTCGTCGTACACAACATAAAAATAATCTAAATAATTAAAAATTTACAAAAGAAGGATATGTATTTCGTTCCATTATAAAATCTCTTCCATATATTTTATCTTAGAAAGCATAATTAATTAGATGAAGAATCAAAATATTTGAATCGAGATAATTAAATTATAAAATATTTAAACTTTAAAATATTTTTAGATAAAAAATTGTAACGTTAGTATATTAGCTTAGCATTACAGCTTAATATTATAGTTAATATTATAGCTTTTTTAAAATGAGTATTATGCAATGTTTTTCTTAATGATTATTTTGAGTCAAAACTGTAATTTAATGATGTATGGCGCCTTGATGTATGGCGAAACGCGAAAGTTAAATGAGCATCAATGTAGATGCATAAATCGTACATGCATTATAACATAATTCACATTGCAGACGACATTACTCACCGGCAAGAACCCCGGCCATGTAAACCGCGGCGATCCTCAGGCTTCCGTGAACCATTTCCAAGGGAAGTCCCACGACCACCTGTACCCCCAGGTTAAACAGCAGGTGAAGCCACCTGAAAAAAAGTAAATGCGCGGTAAATTACTAAGGCATGTCAATTGTTCTGTTAAAGTAGGAAACGCTCTAGGAATTTAATTCAATTACGGTACAATTTGCGTGCAAGTAACCTTTGAAATACCTTTATTAGACGTCCTCTATTATTATTGCAAGATCAATCGGAACAATTGTTACGATGCCAGTATATACAATCTTGAAATACTTTTTTCTCAATATATGTAATAATTATTACAGAAAAACAAAAATTACTTGTTATTTAATATTAATTAATGTAAAATTATAAAAAATAATAATTATCTATGTCACCTTGGTGCACAATATTGCAATCATATTTACGTCGATATTGCAATTACTGTGTTATAAAATAATTAGGTATACGAAACTCTCTCTTTCACGAAACCGTCGTAAAGTGTTAACCTGAGTTAACACGTCGGCCGAGTTACAACTTCGGCCGTCGAAGATCTCAGAAGTTCGCGATGTAGATTCGAGAGAGGAGAGGTTGTCGTTAATCGTGAATTATAACGCCACGGGCGGTTGGCTATAGTTTTAATTAGGAACATCTCGTTAGCAATGTTTCTCCGCCCTCCGCCGCGTTAGATAAGGCTCGACGATGGAAGCGGCCAAAGACGCCGGGAGAAAAGTTGAAAATGCGATGAGTGCGACTCGCGATGAATTCCGCGCAGGCGGTTCGCGACTATCGACGCGGCCAAGAGAATTACGGTAATTGTGCTTCTCTACTTCGGTGAGTGGGGGGGGGAAGGGTGGATCGCGGCCAAACAATATTCTTATTCGCTCAGGGCGTCGTTTCGAAAAGAGTGCCGCCGAGAAGGTTACGAAGAGCGCCGCAGAGTGAAATAATTGCGAGATACCGCGCGGTCGGAGGAAAGTTTTATCAGCGACTTCTGGGCCACAGAAGCACGAAAATCCGATACCCAGCCGTTATCGCGAAACTTCGGCCGACTAATTATTACATCTCGCTAGGGCGCGCGCGCGGTGTCAGACGGAGACAACAATAAATCTCACAGAAAACGGCGTGTAGTTTCTCAGTTTTATAAAATATCGCGGAATGCGAATAAAACGAAGGGAAGTAGACGTTTACGCTACGAAACATCTCAAAGTCATCGGGCTGAGATTAGAACCGAAGTCGAAGAGATTTCGGGCGAATTCGGCAATGATGGCTGAAATAAAAGCAACGCGAGATATAGCGATAAAAAGGACGATACGATCGAGATGTTGGTCCTCGAATAATTCGGTCGACCAGCCGTGGCTATCAGTGAAAGAAAATTCCGCAAGGAAAGAGACTGTAGAATAATTATGAATATTATCTCGCAGTAAGAAGAAACTTTCTAAGCTCGGAGAATAATCGTTCTTCTTATCTATCGTGTGCACACTTGAGAGCGTAGAAAATCTCGAAGAAGCGATTCCAGTTGACACAGTCACGAAATCTAGGTTGTCGTGAGAGTGACAAATTCTGCATTATTATCTTCCACTTGTAGTACAAATAATTCTATAATTATACAACAGAATTTAGTTACATTAAAATAAATATTTAATTCTAATCTAACGGAGCATATTACTTTTATAACAAATATTCCATTAATATTTCATAAAAATAATTTTATTCAATCATCAAATTTTATTGGAAAAAAAAGAGAAAGAGAGAGAGAAATTTTTATTTTTGATATGTAATCTTTTAAAAACCGTTTAACCTTTTAATTTTACGTTTACAGAAAACTTTCATTTCATTATTTTTTATTTTTTGGTTATCAAAATTTCATGTGCCTTGTAGGATAAAGATTGAACGAAAGAAAATGTTTCCTAAGAGCCATCGGACAAGCGGATACTTTATTCATTCTGTAATAGATCCTGGTATGCTCTCTTAATTTAAACATGTCTCCACTAAACCGGCGACGTGAACTTCTTGCATCCATTGAATTTTTCCTCGTGGAACGAGACTCGATTCGAAACAGAGGAAGAGACGATTTCACAGAAGTCTTTACACCAGGGCACGGTTGGCCGCAATTAGCCTGCGTACACCGTACTCTCGTAGCAACGACGTGCGCTTAGGAAGCGACCAATTTGCATTGAGTGCGGGTCTAATCGTGGTCGTGCGCCCTGTCGCAATGCGGTCAAACGGAAAGAATGCGATCGTTGCGAACACTCGGGAGTCGTTCGCAAGAACGTTGCCGGTCAACGTCGGGCCTCAGCGACAGAAATGGATGCCACGATCCAGGGGCCTCCGCGGCCGTTGCCGTTGTCACGGAACGAAGTCGATCGAGGGGGAGAGAGGGGAAGCGAGGGAAGCAATCGTGATTAGGTCAGAATTAAATCGGCGCTCGGAATTCCAACGGGTTTCTTGCCGCCTCGTTGCCGCACGAATGCAAATGGCGATGCCTCGATTCCGCGGGGGCGGAAAACCGGAGGTCGCCGCCGCGTCGGGACAGACGTGATGTATAGGCGTCGATACGTTTCCAGAATGCAATCATCGGAATGGAACGCGCGTAAGGAGGCGTCGCGTCGCGTCGCGTCGCGTCGCGCCCGAGGAGGGCGGTTCATAAATTTTCGGCTTTGCCGTCGATGCTATTCGCCTGATGGAACTTTGACCGGACTTTTGCGCGATGATCCTTTTCAATTTTCTATATAGACTCTCATGAATTCTCCCTAAATATTTATTTCCACTTTGTGTCATCGGTGAATTATGTCGTTTATTAAAGTTTCAAACTTTTTAATTTTGTTGTTAATACAAAAGAGACAAAATTTTTTTTTAATATCATTGCAGGAAGAGTGGATATAAATTTCTTATAACTCCACTAATTTATACAAATTATTGGTAATTTTATAAAATTATTAATTAATTAAATATCTTCACAGAAATGTGTATACGCTCCATTTAAAGATTATTAAATGATTTAATAAAGTGCATTGTTGAGTTTATCATTACATATGGATAATCGGAGGGATGGCATCAGTCGCATAAATTAATCGAAATCAATATGCATACCCTAGCGACGTGTTTGACAAAATATAATGGCGCTCGCTAGTGAACAATGAGTCGTATCTTTCTCGCAATCAACAAAATCTGCTCCTAAGACATTCGAATCACGATAAGATTCTTAAATCGGCCACGCCAATTTCGGTTAATTGGATACCAATTAGATGAATCTCGGGCATTGTGTCGGTGGACGAGTTACGGCGGGTTTCTCGGTTTTCGCGCGAGTATAATTCTCCTAGCTTTTTCCTTCTCCATCTGTTTCGTATCCACGACGGGAGAAAGCAGCACCTCGTTCGAGGACCGAATTTCCATTCGACGAATACGAATGACAGTAACCGGCCTCCTACGACGGGTATCTACCCATTTTATCGTCGTGTCGTTTGAATAGGGAGAAGGACCGGCGGGCTTTCTTGCGCGTTTCCAATTTCGACGATTGCGTACCTACGATGAATCACAATGCGATCGATACCTACTCATAGATTGCCTATTCTAAAAATAGCGAATAATACTAGGAGCAGGAAAAACTCTACGATTAATTTAAATATCAGAAGTTCTTTATATTCGCATAATTTAATTTCAAGAGTTGTAAAACTTTATTGCAAAAATACTCGATCTTAGTGTTCAAATTCCATTAAGTATTCCTTAAAAATTTTAAGGTTAAGGAAAAAGTTCGTTTCATATCTGTAAAATTCACGAAAAGGAAATAATTTCAGAAATTCTAATTTAAGATGATGAAATCTTTTAGATAAGAAAGATTGATTAGAGTCTAGATATATCTAGCAGATGATTGCGTTTAATTCGATTCTGTTCGACAATTCGCGCTAATTCGCGATAATTCGCGGAAAGCCGGGGTCATGTGAGCGGATCAAAAGTATTATCGAACGCAGTCGGTGCCGATAACTTTGTACCAAGCGAGAACGAGAGGATAAAGTTCCGAAGCAAGTTGACTCTAATGTTCCACAGGCGCAAGTGGTTTCGTCAGCGTCTCTAACTACTTGCTAGTAGTTAATTACACGCCGAAAACTTCTTACTTACGAAAGACGAAGGCGTGGACGAGCCCGTCGACAGTGATGTCTCAGCAGTCGGCGAGTTTGTCTCCGGGAAATCTCCACCTTAATTCTATCGACAGATTCTTTGACTTCAGGGCCGATCTCTCCTCAATCTGTCGTCGGTTCTCGACTTATAAGCGATCGAATATAAAGGCAATTTGGTAAATTGGATCTTCGTCGTGTAATTAAACGTTTCACTTTCGTGATTAAAAAAGTGTGGCTAAACTTCACTCTCTTTCGGAACTCTATTCTAATTATCAACATGCTCCAATTATCAAAATATTCGCTACAAGATATATTATTAATTAATTTTCGTAATTGACATCTAATGGCGATTAATTTCAATAACGATCGCGCTTCTGAGAAGGAAACTGAATGTAATCGCCTGTGCAATTTGTTCAGCAACCTTCCACGAGAATTTTCATTCCCACGGAGGGATGCGCTGGCGAAAGTTTCGATCCACGTGGCGCGCGTCGCGTGTAGGAGAGGTGCGGGGTGTCGCCTCGGTGATATTAAGGGGCACCAGCCTCCGGCGCATTTATGCGACATTAAGAGGAGGACTCGCAGCATAATGGTGTGTCGCCGCGCTCGTCGCGCATGCATAATGCCGCATCGGTAGCGCGCGAGTGACGAGGGCTTATAAAAGCGATGGGATGGTGGACATCGTTATTTAAATTGAGTTACGAGTCGAGAGATTCGGGCATATTCGTTTTTTTTTCTCCTTTCGTACGGCGAGGAACTTCGGCATGATTTACGAAGCCCGAAAGATGCCACGTTCGCGAGCGTTCTCACCATCCCAGAAGACGGTATCTTATGTCTGCATCGCACCAGTAGTAATAGTATGTAGATTTTGTTCTAAAAAAAAAATGAGTGATATAATAAAATATGAATACAATCAGTACTTTATTCCTTTTCAATTTTTTAAATTTTATTTTTTCACCATTTTTTTTCCCCGTAAATGCTAATAATGAAAATAACAAAAGATAAAATTTTCATAATATTATAATAATTAAATTTAATATATAAAAGACGTGAATAATTTAAATTATCTGTATTTTTAATTATCTTAATTTCTTCATTTTTTATACGATCATTCATACGTATTAAAATTTGTTGAATTTTATATATTAATTATATCGATATATTACTTGTTTACTTATATCGATATATCTACTTGTCTGCTTAGAAAATGCTATTTTTATTTCTATACAGAAAATAAAAATTCTTCACTGCTAGATTCTTGCGTTCTTTTTTGAACCGTCGCGCGTGTTCGAGGACGATTCGGCCGCAACAAAGCGGCCTTGTGAATTCAAGCTTGATTCGCGCAAATCGATACCATGAACAACGAGATACGGAAGCGTGTCCTATCTCGAGCGACGCGAAACCTTTCGGTGTGACTCGTATTTCGCGGACTCGACGATACCATTGTGTCTAGCGACAAACGCTGCCGCGCGTTGACTTCCCGCAATTATGGCGATTGTCTCGATTTTTCCGCGCTTCCGGCTTTCTCACGGGCACCGCGCGGAACACGGAGACAAAAGAGAAGGAGACAGAAGAATACGACGGAGGCGCAACTTCGGAGCACGACAGTTTTCACATTAATAACGGAGGAAGCTCGATAACGTCTGGCGAAGGTAACGGGCGTTACGCGGAGACGGAAAAAGGCGCTCGATAGCGCGAACCATCTTGTTTTTATAATTAATCGCCTGTCGCCTGGCTGAAGCGCCGAGTTTTTTACTCGTCGATTATGGATCGCGCTTCTCTGCGGTAGCCTGTGTGTCACCGCCGACGCATTATACCGCTTATCATAACTTCGATTTATGCCAATTAGTGTAATTGACACGTAACGCCCGCGTCGTACGTAGCCGATCTGAAAATTACCGATGTGCATCGATTACGGAAATAGTAAAAGTAAAAAAAAAAAAGAAGGACGAAAACCGCGATCGCCTTATTATCTTTATTCCTTACCGCAACGCGCGATTTACTCGAAACGCAATTCTAAAACGTATCTACCCGCGCTCGTAGAGTATCTTCCTCCGAAGATCCGTCTCTCGAACGAATTCATCAGCTTCTACGAAATTTATCTTCGACTTACCGAGCGCGTTACCATCTTACCGTTCTCGAGCTCTTTCGGGATCACGTAATGCTCAGAGAAATGACTTTTGATGGACGCGCGCGGGGCGTTGCTCGCATTAATAATCCAGTTGCCGCGATAACGTTTCACCTGAGAGCATGGATGAACGAAAGAAGTAACTAGTAAAAAAAAGACGAACAACGAATTAAAGAAAAAAGTTTAAGGAAAAGAGAGAAAGGGAAGTAAAAACAAAGTATAGTACACTCCGAAGTACCGTTTGAACAATAACAGTAAAATGACAACGATACAATACAAGTGCAGCATCAAAAACTCTAAGCAGAATTATACGTAAGCAATTAAAAATGTACAATAAATGATAATACTATTGAATGAGAAGGACATGAAAAAAGTTAATTAAAATAAATATTAATAGTATCTAAAGTAAAACAACACGGGCAACAAGGAAAAAATAAATTATGAATGTGACGTGCTGTATAAAGAAAAACAAAAAATAAAAGGATGCGGCAAATAAGAAGATCCTAATATCAAAAATGATATAAGACAAAATAAAGAGAATAATGAAGGAGAATAAAAAAAAGAGAAGGGAAATGAAAATTGGCCGAACGCATGTTTTCTATGGCAAGGAAAACAGCGACGGAGTCACTCTTATCGCCGTTTCCATACGCACGTAGGGAAAACGGTCGTCTTATCTGGCGTTTCCATGAATAATTTAGAAAGCTTCGCGCGCTGAAAACTTTTATTCTGTTGATGATAGAGAGGGAAAGACAGAGGAAGAGGAAGCGTAAAATCGGCCGTACGATCTCATCTCCCGATTTCTTTTCTTCTCTTGATGATAAAAGGGAGAAGGGGGTAGAAATGTTGATGCGTCCAGAGAAATATCAGGGATGGAAGAAAAGTCAGGAGAAGAGCAAAAAAATCGTTCGAGAGGATAGAAAGGGGAGGAAGGCAAAAACCATCGACGTGGAGCGAAAGAAGAGAAAACGAGATGGAAGGCACGATGGAAAAATAGCTGCGAGCAAAGAAAACTGCCACCTTCCCTCTGAGCTCCATAGCTGGGGAAGAAATGCGTGCCGAAACACTTATACAATAATTCGTTTCCCGTGTGATGCCGCTTGAATTAAATCGATGTCAAGCGAAGGTGCGGCAACATGATTCACGATCACAAAGACCGGAATTGAGTATAATTAATCGAATGATCTAACGCCTACTATCCATGATGGACGCAGGTGGCCGATTTCGAATGTACAGGATCGCATCTGTTTCATTCTAATAAGTCTCCTTGCGCAATCAGTCTTACAATTTCTTCCCCGCAATCTTAAGCAATTTTTGCGAAAGAATAAAGAAGCTTAAGTAAATCGCAAAATAAATCTATTAATTAATTTCCTCATATTAAATTTTTTAATTAAAATTAGATTACGGATTCAGGTTTTTAAAAATGTTTGTATCGCTTTCAATTTATTAATATTTTAGATATAAAAAAAAAATTTCCCACTGGCAATAAAATATGCGACAACTTTCAAGTCTATCTCATAACACAACAGGTGTGTGTATGTGTTATTTTCTTCATCTGCTACTTTATTATATATTTATAAATTTATAATATATTATATTTTTCTTTCTTTATTTTTCTTTGTTATTTTCTTAGAGCTTATATTCTTTTCCACAAACATTCCGTTAAATCGATACGTGATTGCGACCTTCTATGTTGACAAATCATAAAAATCATACTGCAGCTATCGTGTACAGCAAAATTGTGCTGAATTAAATTCGCAGCGCACGCACGAAATATGTACGGTAGGTTGATTCTGCAAGTTCGGCGAAAAGAAAGATGAAAAAAAGAGCGAAAGCACGGCAGAAACGTGGTTTATCTTGATCCTTTTTTTATGCTATCGTAATCGCAATAATTCGCGTTGCGCCACGACAGCGTTACCGATTTTAAAGTCCTGAGTTTCTCTCCCTTCCTTTTTTCTTTCAGTATTACAATTCGCATTATTTTCGATTGTGATATTCGATTGCGATGCTATCGTATCAAATCGAAAATAATGCGAGTTGTAATACTGAAAGAAAAAAAGGAAGGGAGAGAAACTCAAGACTCTAAAATAAATGACATTCGAACCGTCGCAACATGTAAATCCAGTTCTCATAACGATGAACAAAATCGCCGACATGATAACGCAATTAAAAAATAATGAAATAACGATATTTACATGACATAGAAAACTTTTTATTCGAGATAATCGACAGCCAAGACTGTTCGAATGCAGTTTTCGGGTCATACGAAAAATGCGGTCTTTATGGTCGTCGTTGCTCCAAAGTTTCACGAAGGTTTTTATCGCTCACGGCTCTCTCGTATTTTTCCAGCTGCGAATTCGTCCGCGACACCCTCGATAACTTAAATGTGCACTGACGCAGATTTGCTTTTGTATCCATTAGCGCGAAAAAACGTTGGTTTGGAACGTTACATAAAGTCGCATCGGTACGTGATATAAAAGCAAACGTATGCTCGAATTACATCGGCATTTCTCTCTGCGATGGTGGAGAAAATTAACGATGCGCATACCATGAAGCAAAGAGAAAATCGAATTGCCAGCGCGTTTCTGTCGGCTGGCAGAGCGGAAGGATAGCGCGATATCGAGAGATCCGATATTATTCGAGACGTGACACCACAAATATCCATTAAATATGAGCGTGTCGTATATTCGCGAGAGACACGACTGCAATTACGCAAACAGCCGAGTCGTGAGAGACGGAAGAAGAAAAGCACGAGATTTTGCGCGGAATGTATTTACGACGCGATTAAGTGTCTTTCAGAGGAATCGAAAAAAATCATGAGACTCACCCAGCGTGCAGGAACATGTAGAACGCGAACCTCCAGAGTTCGAGCCGCTTGTCCGGTCTGTAAATGAAAACACTGTCGATTGGCACCGGTCCGGAGGGATTCACCTCGCCCATCGCCACTGTGTAATACGTGAAGAAACCAAGCTGCAACAAACAAGTAAATTTATCATTAGTAAAAGTTGAGATGGACATGTGATAAATGAAGAATCTTCATAATAAAACTTACCAAATATATTTATTACAGTCAAAATTGTTAAAAAAAAATTGTTGCGACTCAAATATGCTTTTTTGAAATATGCTTTTTTATGAAATATTTATTTTTAATATTATATAGAAATTTTATATTTGTATATCAGCGCGTAAAAATGAATATCAAAATGTTTGAATGTCAAAAACACATGTTTTATTTATTTGTTATGCAAAATGTTATCTAATACTGTATAGAATATAATGCTATTATTCTGCTATTATTATCTTTAAAATTTAGCAATAAATTATCTCTCATTTATTCTAGCTAATCCATAATTTATTATCTATTTTTAGAATAATATTTTGTCAACAAACCATCATATCTAAAATTTACAAAATATTTTCCCAAGTAAATCCTTTGAGTAATCTTTTTTCCATAACAGGAATCATAAACTAGATAGCTAACGCAGCAAAAATATGAAAAAATACCAGAGATGGAAAGAAAGGGTAAACTAGTATGTTAAAACAAAGGAAAATTACTCGAACTACATGGAGTGTTAGGGTACGTGTGATGAATTAGTCACGCAATGCATGCAAAAATGAATGATATATATTTCGTATCTCATTATGCTGTGTTAATAAAAATGAATTATTTCTCCCTCGTGACATTTAGATATCATATTTATTAAAAGATCTTGATCACATTTAATACCACAGTACTAATATTATCAACAGAAAATTAATTTTTGCAGATGATTAATGATACTTTTTGTAAGAATTACAAATTTTTTATTTAACATCAGCGCAGTTTATTTTTAAAAGTCACAATTCATGTCGAGTAACTGTAAACTTTAATTTTTGTCAAAGCGATTATTCGATAGTTTTTTGATATTACAAATAATTTTCAATGATTTTCCTTACATGTGCAAAGAGCTAAGTTTTTTTTTTTAGACAATATACAAATAACAAATATCAAATATCAAATAATAATAAACATATACAATGTATTAATGTCTATCGCATGTCTACTGAAAATCACGCAACAAAAGTTACAACGCGACTAGAACTCATTTACCTTAATCACGCCAAGCACCACCCTACTACATTCGTCTCTTCCTCGGTGCCTGACCTCGAGGAGAATAAGAGATGACTAAGAAAACGGGCGAAATCAGGCGCGCAAGTGAAATGTATGCGCATAAATTGCGCGACTCTCCGCGCAATGCCATCGGTGTTGAAAGGGTTAATCAGCGAGGCGGTGGTACGTTGAACCCGCATAACAGCGGCGCATAAAGATGTCGACTCGTGTGCGCGGTTGTAAAAACGCCTGACGAAAAGACACAGGGAAATAAATGGGGGAAAAGTCGCGGGCGCGCACGCACACAGCACGCACGAATATACCGCATTGCGTGCAGCTTGTTAATATCTTCACCCCGATATGTGCCGCTTATAGTTCATGTGACGTAACATTTCCTTCGCGAATAAAAAAATACGCTGTGTAAATAAAAACATTCTATAAGCTTTACGTAGAAGAATTCTTCAACTCGGAGAATTTTTAAAAATTTAATCAAACATTATCGAGATATTCCAAATTTTCCCGAGCTCTAAGATTTCATGAATAAATCTTAATTTCAATGAATTAAAATAATAAAATAAAATAAAATCCGCTCAGAGCCAGACAGTTCTTAATTGTACCTGCACTAATACAACGTTAATATTGATAAATTATAAGTAAATTAATAAAAAACCTGTAGATTAATTTTGTAAAAATCAATATATATATATTTATACAAAGCTTTATCGAATACCAGACATCGATTAAGCTCATGTCGAGATTTCTTCCTTTTCACTATCGTTCGAAAAAATGTCGATGCAACCAAAATGCAAAAAGTCTCACGTGATACGCAGACATTACGAGCACGTGTCGCCGTGTCGCGTCGCGCGAGGCGGGACGGCTCTCTTTCCCGGCGTCGCGACGCCGGAAACTTTCGGAATTAAATCGACAGTTTCGCGATGCGAGCAGGCGAGTCGTAAATAAAAGCGAAAGACGCGTCCCGTGTGCTACAGATTCGTGACTCGCGTTTGTAACCGGTGACAGGGTATACATGGCGGCCGTTTACACGCCCGGATTTAATTTCGCGTTTGGTCCCATGCAAAACTGCGAGAACGACGCGGCAACGAAGTCTGTATCGTATGTTGCCGTTGACGAATCTATCTGAGATTTGGCTTTGGAAATGCGGGCGACATGTTTAAAAGGATCGCGAGAGAGAAGAGGCGAAAAAAAATCACTAAGAGCCTTGATGCATTTCACGCTTGTCATTGTAAACGTTCCACTGAATGCTACTTCAAATCGAATGAACAATGTAGATCTGCATATCAATATTTTTCTCATTTTAAATTCTCATTCTTAAAAGAAAAATATTTCTTCAGTCTTTTCTATTTATTTTTTATTAAAAAATTATAATTATTTTTATTTATTTTTGTGTAAATTATTTATATAAATTTTTTTTGTAATTGAAAAGAATTTAAGATAAGATCGATGAAATAATTCTTTTGAGTGCTACTATTTTGCTATTAATTATATCGCAATGCATTTAACATCATATAATTTTCATATCATTTATTAGTAATTGTTGAAACGTAATCGATGCATAGTTGAATCCTACTGACGTTGTAATGTTAATTCTACCAACATAATATTATCTACGCAAAGGATTTGGCACAGTCACAAATACGTATTTTAATTAATTTATTAATCGATCAATATACATACTTCACGTTAATATTAATCTCTCTCTGTTAAATATTAATTATGATAATTGTTTGAGATAGCCTCGATTAAATCCGCTCGACATCCGCGCAAAGAAACTCTTCTCGTCCGTAAAAGAACTCCGTAAAAGAGATAAAAGGAATATTGCGCAAATATACAGAGACGCGTCTCGCCGTTGCATTATACAAACTATCCGGCGTTTCGTAAATGACGGCGATATTGCGCGGAAATATTAGAAAGACCGAGAGCTTCTTTGCGATACAGCGAATGCTTGTTTCGTTTAACAAGAGTTCAGCTCGAGCGATCTATCCCGCGTAAAAATTCTATATTCGTCTGACGTGATTCACAGATTGCAAATTGCCATTGATTCTACGAATGATTTTACGAAATATATATTTTCGAGAAATAATTCTCACGATACAAAATCGCAAAAATGACATATTACAGCTTAAATACTTCAATATTTAAAATACTAATAGTAAAAAAAAAAATAAATATCTGACCTGATATTTATGCTCTTCTTGATTGATATTTAAATGCTTTTTCATGCACGTATAACCTACATATCAGTTCGGCTCATCAATACTCTTCTTTCTCCCACGCCGCAGAAAAATTCCTTTCGCACGCGGAATTCTTCCGTCGTTCGCCCCAGACGTTTATTACGTCATAATGATCCCGATCGCGTCTAATAAGTGAATGTTACGGGGACAGGCGGGCAGAACGAGCGATATAAATCAACCGATGTAATATTACATCGGGACGTGGCGCGACGGCCGTTTATACGCTGTATTGTTTCGGCAAAACCGGGGAAACATAATGGCGGAACCCTAAGCATAATACGGGCCTGCGTTGCGCCACTCCGACAGGGAGGCAAGAGCTGGAGAGCGGACAACAAATTGGTTTTAAGACCGAGGAGCCACGGTGGTTTCCGCCATTGTGGTCGAGGCATTAATTAGCCAGTACTGAAAATTGTTCGCGCGTCTTTTCGTTCCGTTTTTCGTCCTCCCCCTCCCTCCTCTTGCTTTTGTATCGTGATATTTTTCGGCAGAAATCTCGCCAACGACACGATAAATTTCACAAAAAAATTTTTTTATCACACACGTGATATATTATATTTCTATATAAAATACAAATAAATATAAATATACAAATAAAATATATAAATATATAAATTAACATATAAATTAAGATAGGATGTAACAGCTCGCGTGAAGCATAAAAAAATAGGTAGGCGCTATGTCGACGAATGTTTTTTGGTTCGGTATAAAATAGTACACATTTCATTGTTTTTCTCCCATACCAGGGATTATCATATCCAAAATTGCTTTGGGGATTCGGCATACACGACATGTAAATGGAATGAAATATATTCCATCGCTTGTCGAAGTCTAATTCGTTTCGTAATTGATAAAAGCGGGCAACTAATAACATTTATCTGCGATTATACGCCGGTATCGATGCAGGGAGGGAATAAACAGCACGTCGAAAATTATCGAAACACGCTTGCATGGCAGGAAGTAATTATTCGCTACAATTTCGTTTTAATTAGAGCACTTTGCGGATTTTTATCCGGTGAATAACGCAGGTAAATAATTACTCTTTCAATTGCACAAATTTGCGGTACGTTTTAATGACGGTTTATTAATTGCCGCTATTGTGTATGACGGTTATAGAAGGATTAAAGCAAAGCAAAGCATAGAATGATTATTACCAGAAAATAAACAAAATTATCGTATTAATAATTATACTTGCAAAAATAAGAAGTGAAAAATAAAATTTTATAAAAAACACTGTAATTTCTCATATATTTCTTTTAATATGAGCTGTGAATTTGCTTTCATAATATTTTATAACATCAGAAACCAAATTGTATTAAAATCACTGGTAGCATTTTCAGGTTTTTATAAAAAATGCAATTTTAAAATTACTTTGTAAACCATCATGTTACTTCAGTGTTACCGCTACGTATATTATTCAGAATAATTATTATTATTTCAGTTTCATCATGTGAGTTCTCCGATTATTTTGTTGGTGGTCTTTTCCACAATATTTTAAAACATAAAATTTGCTTTTTTTTTCAAATATCAAAAGTAAAATTAAAAAAAATATATAATCACGGAAGAAAAATTTATTATGATTCATTACAGAATAAATCGTAAATAAAATATTAAACTAAAACGTTATTGCT